TTTTATTATCGCTTCAAGTGAAGATAGTGTCACTTGTCACTCGTTTTAAATGAGATTCCACTTCCAGAATAGCTATTACATCGGAATTAAAAAATAAATAGATAAGGAAAAATAAATAGATAAGAAAATTGTATATACCTAGGCATTATTGTGTATGCAATTTACCGTGACGATAAATTCATACTGAAAGTAATTAATTTGGGAACTGGGTGTTTCTCTTTTGCGCCAAGATTTTTATTACGACTTGATATGCGTACCGCGTATTCAGAAACTGCGGAAACTTCGCAATTGTTCGTACTTTGTTCTTCCTCGTTGGAATAATACTGCCAAGCATTTCCCTTGCAGTTGGATTTCATGTTTGCGGATAATTGTTCGGAGATTACACACTGGTACTGCGGAGGTACTGTATGTCCGTTAAAATAGTTACACCATAGCCTCAAGGACATAATATCGTTTCTTTCAAGAGTGAACATTCGCGAACGGCGCGCGTTAAGTGAACGTTAAGTGAGCGTCAGGCGAACGATTGATTATAAGATTAACGCAAGTTTTGGGGCCGCTAGATTGTTGGTTTTCTTGAGCTTGACGGCTTTTCAGAGCAATTCAGTTTCCATTGTGTTCTCCTTTTCGTTAAACACTGATTGTGCGCGTTACGTCGACGACAATGAGTCGCGACTTCCTAGTGGAACGAGCGCCGAGGGGTCGTTGCGGCCGCGGCAGCGGAATCGGCGTAGCGTGCAAGATTTTCTGAATCGAGTCTACGAAAGTACGGCGCGAAGAAACGAGTTACGCTCGTCGAGCCGTAAAACTTAAAAGATCGATCGCCGCGGGAAGTATACCCGTCGTCGTTGCCGACGCCGCCGACGCCGCCGCGTCGATCTAACGGCGTTACCTTGCAACTTCTTAAACGAATCCTTCTTGCGCACTCTCGGCGCCTAGCTGTTACAACGTACAAGATTACGTTCTGATCGTACAAAACATAAGTGTACGCGCAATCACGTGCAACGGTTCGCACGTGGTTACTTGGCGACGAATCATTCGCGCATCTTTTCTCCTCCTCTCTCTCTCTCCCTCTCTCTTTGATATATGATATAAATTTAGCGATGTTTATTTTTATGTCCATACGTTCGTTTGTTTATTCATAGTGTTCTAGACGCGACTTTAAGATCCATATTAATAGTCGTTACTTGAAATTTATCTCAGGTAAGACACTCAGATTTTAATTCAGAGTCAGACCTGAGTTTTCAGCTGAATCGTGACTGCAAATATAATGTCACATGTATTGTATAATTCAAATAAAACATTCTCATCTAACTCTAAATTCAGATTTGAATATTTCATGTAGAACAAGTTTCAAGTAACGACTATTAATACGAGCCTAACTTATTTTCTCTGATGCACTGATTCATTGATTTGTTTATTGTAAAGCTCTCTCGATTAATTAATTTTCTTTTTTTATTGTTTTATTTTATATTTATTTTCTTTAATGCTTTTTACACTTGAAGAGATTATGTCCCAAAGCGCACACAATAAGTGAAGCTCTATCTGTCTGTCTCTCTCTCTGTCTCTGTCTCTCTCTCTCTCTCTCTCTCTCTCTCTCTCTCTCTCTCTCTCTCT